ATGGTAAGCATCCGGATGGCTACATTTTTTTGCCAAATTGCGGGACTGCAGGTGTTTTCCCGATCCGGGCTATGTAATGCAGTGAAAACTCATAAAACGGTAGTAGATTTATAGTTGATTGTGCCTTATTCTGGAAAAAGAACGAACTAATTGGCCTCATGGCGCTTCCGAGGAAACTAGTAGGGTTACATACTCTGAGCACTGTATTGGCTGATGAATTCGGGAATGCTTTTTCATTTGAGAATCATTTTTCCAGAGTATTGATTTTTGCTATGTCGTAGATGTCCTGATTACTTGAGTATTCGCTACTCTCTTTCAAATTCTGAGGGTGAAGGCGGAAGGCGCAATGGGTCGCAATGTAGAAATTGTGCTGCTGCTCATGACAGCCTTAAGTAGTACTGGCTATGCTCTTAAGAGCTCTGGCATTTTGCCATGCGCCTACCTTTTTTCTCGCTTTTTTCTTTTTTTAACGCATTCTGTTATTCTTCGTATCCTGTGTAAGCCTCCTTTTGTGGATATGAATACGAAAAGTAACAAGGCGTGAAAAAACATAATGGAGAGAGAGGCGCTCCGTCGTAGAAAAAAAATATTGTCCCATTGAGAGCCATAGAGAACGTTCAGCCTCGAACATTCCGATATCGCCTCGTTCGGGGGCAATGACGTCCTTAAATCAGACGCGGTTTTGAAGTTGTATTGAAAATTGGTAAGAATAGAAGAAAGGCGTGTTTTCTGAGGTAAATTAGGAATTAGGAACAGATAATTACAGCCCATACTGAGTGTTCACCTTAATGGTGTAAGTGTGGACTCCACTTCCTGGTTGCTTCTCCTCCCTCTTGCTTGGCTTGAGTTCTTTGTCTATGATTACATCAGTAATATGCGAAAAGCGAAAAGAGTAGGCATTGACTGGTTGCTAGTGGGTCATTTTTTTAGGAACTCCATTTTCTTTGACATTTTTAATTGAAATTCTTTTCAGCCCTGACAGGTGTACAGCCAGGGCATCGTATCCAGTCGTTTGCGGAAGCGAAGAGGCTCGATCAGATGAACGAACGTATGCCGCCGTCGATGGCGACCCCTGGACAATCTCCAACAGCCTCACCACAGCCACGTGCGCGTAACGGACCCGACGCATAAGCGCTTCGCCGACACCTTTGTCGACGTGCTCTCATCGCCTTGTCATGCCATACACACACACCAGATAAGCACTCATCTCTCCCTATCTCTCTTTCTGTCTGTCTGTCCCTCATATTGGCTCCGTCCCCATCCCCATCTTCAATTTTTTCTCCTATTCTCGTCGTTGGTGACATATCTACATATCGAACTAGTCCGCAATGTGCGCATGAGATTTTCGCTTTGTCTAGTCTTATGAATTCTATTTTCAATTTTTGAAGTAATTTGCAGCACTGCAACACGAGTATTTCCTGTAGAATTGAAGGAGCACGAAGTGAGCGGCGTGAGGATCGGAGCCTGAACCAGGCGTTCAAATGCGAATGACTTGGTGGTGTCGCATTGGTTCAGAAAAAGCCATTCCCCTTTAGGAACGCTCAGGAGGGAAGATACAACCGTTCTGAGAGGTGGCGTGCTTTGGGATACCATGCAAGGCCCGAACCTCGCGGTGCTGACGCGACATTCTCGTGAATTACGTACCCCTCCTATCTAGTCCGCAGTTATGTTTAGTTCCTTCCTATCAACAACGATCGCGTTTTGACTAACCCCATGCACTCAGGATGCTCACACACTTCGGACCGCTTCATTAGTAGACGTAGATTGAAATGGGTATTGATTTCACACGCGTATGATTGATATCCGTTCTTCACTTTGACGCACTGACGCGGTGGTCGGAAATGTGGAAGTAGCCTAAAGCGCAGATAGTGAAAGAATTACTCGAATTTCTCCTTAGTATGTTCAAAACTACTGTGAAACGTTGTGCAGGAAGGTTCAGCTGCTATATATGCTACAGTCTAGCCGTAATTATACTGAAAATCCACGTCTAGCTTTTATGGGGATTTGATTTTGACTCGTTGTTTGTTTACATTAATGTTCATCTTTCCGGTGTATAAGGTGTTTTGTTTACTGTTAAGGCTTGGTGTGGAGTGCTTTTCGTTTTATCTCTCTCTCTCTCGATGTTGTACACAACATGCTCCATGTGAGTTGGACGACAGATCCGCCCGCGTTACCCAACACACCCACGACCTCACTGCATAGAATTGCTTAGGATTCCGAATAGCTATAAGAGATGCCTCGTTGAGATAGTTTGGCGCTGATCCAGTTGACGACCATCCTATTAGGTGAAGAGGTTCAGCTCGATCCGTGCCAGTTTTCGATGGATATAGCCGTACAAGGCGCAGCTCACCAAGTTTCTTCATTTTTTCTGGTTTACGACCGTAAATAGTACAAATGAAAGAATGCCCATAGGGAGCTGGCACAGATACGGTCAGTGGCCAAGGGTTAGCGGTTGTAGGTGGGAATTCGACGTGCGCGGATGCGGATCAGCCAGTTTAGCCACAACAATTTGCCCATGTTCGATGTCAACGCTCGCGCGAGCGCAGACCTTGATGTCAGGTACTGCGTCCTGAACGTTCTAATCCGTGGCTGTGAGTGGATGCGCGCATACTTAGCCGCAACTCATCCCATGTGCGCTCTCCAGCTTGATAATTTCCGCCACGGCTACTGTGTACGTATTACCATTGTTGTAGTATTGATATCATCATACAGCTTCGGCTTTATTTCATCTATTCATTCGTTCATCCATCCATCCCCCATTCAGCCTCCCAAATCCATGAAATCATCCGTTCTGTCCCCAACACCCCACACGCAAAACCTTTCCGTGCGTTGCTCATTGTGTTCTTCGAATAGTCCATCAGTTCTGCTCCCCAACCATTTCATTTTCTCGATCATAGCAATTACGCACCAATCTCTACGACCATCCTAGCAACAACACCATGACGACAAATCCCCCTTCGTTCGATGACTATTAAGATATTATTTATGTCCTCAATTTTTTTTGTTATATACGTTTTTTTCATTTGTAATTCTGTGTTGCAGAAGTCTTATTTATATAAAAATATTCCTTTGTAGACTGTGTTTTTATGAATTATCTTGGAAATCTCGAAAACGAAGGCCACAACCCGAGTATTGCGAAAGAATATTGCCGAAAGCAATGTTTACAAAATTGTCATAAAACCTGACCCATCGACGATCTCGTTTACAAATATATTGTTTGATGAAGTTTTACTCAAAAATTGGGATAAGTGTGTAAGCGCAGAGGCTCTGCACTAGTCTTCAGTTTTAAAGACGTAGTTGTTCTGCACTGATGTGGCAAGAGGGCGAAGACCTTTTCATCTGGCTGAACAATAAAACTCTTTACAGATAGTTACATGGGATCTGTACAAGGCAGTCGGATCGCTCGAAGGGGCATCCTCCTTCATATGTTAGCTCTCAATGACTCACTGAGACTACTCCTCCTTTCCTTCTCGAAAAGAATGAGTAGTTAGCAGCATCCCTACATCGAATAGTACAAAACTACAGTGTTCAGAATCCGATGCTATTTGCTATTTTCGTTTACGGCATCAATCCTGAAGTGGTTGCAGATATAAGAATATGACGCCCCTCGGTCAATAATACCGTTGCCGCGAGTTAGAATATCAAAAAGACGGTGCCATCGAAATACAACTTTATTGCGCGCCATCAAATTTGGGTAACTGACCACGAGATTTGAGAATTGCCAGCCTTTCAGCTTTTAACCGTTCCCGCTCAGCTCTAGATAAAGATGGTCTTATAAAAATACCCTTTTCCTGAAAGGATCTGAGCTGAGGAGATCTCTTTAACAGCAACGACGCAAAACAAGAACATGGAAATACCACTTTCAAAAGTCTGGGCTTGTTAGGCACTAAACGGCCCATCCTATATACTGCTACAGGACGACATTCAATGGACAAATAGTCAAGGATCTGCCTAGTACAGGAAATATGCAGAACACGAGTGGATGCAATGGGAGCGGAACTCTCTTTCACGCCTATAACAACAACTGAACGCTTACGTTCAAAATCCATATCATCCGAGGAAACATACTTGGCCGTGAGAGGCTGTGAGGAAAACTGAGTTGGAGTACTCTCATA